TACCTTCATAGTTACCTGTTTGAAGGCGTGACTTCGGTTGCATATATCACTAGTCTTTTAAAATCGCCGAGGCAAAGTAGATTACTGTACTAGTTATCATCAAATTTTACGAATTTGAAAACAACGATAAGGCGTTGCTAAATTTAGAACGTTAAACGAAAATTTCAATCGGATGCCAATTTGTCAAGTTTAACGTACGACATGAGTATTCGGCCTAAAATTAATCAATTATACTGACATCTGGGTACAACGTGTAAAAAATATTTCTTCAGTGTATTCTGCCACGAATAGTAATTAATTTAACATTGTCAATAGTATCTTAATATAACTTGCTAATCATTATTTGTTCATGTTCCGCATATTTATTATAATACTGTATTTCTAATATTTCTTATTTTTACATCAAACCACAATCATTATAATTATTCAACGACTTTTTCCTAATTCAGTATAACGTAATTTTTCTTCGGATATTTCTTCGGTTTTATGTTGAACCCATGATTTTACTTCTTTTGTAGTTTTATTGATTTTTTCAAGAACAATCGCCATTTCTGTTACACCTTTGGTTAAAAACTCGATTTCTTCACCTGCCAACAAATTATCGAAATTCCGAATAGATTACAAAAAAAAAGGGATCGGTTTTGATTTAATGAATGAGATAAAAGATAAAAAAAAAAAAAAATGCTATAAAAAGATACCAATTTCTTTCAATTCTTCAACATCGATTTGAATAGTTGTTTGATTACTTTGTTCAGCAATTGAAACCTTTTCATGAATTATTTCAGCACCTCGAAATTTACTAATTAATTGCAATATATTATTACCAGACATTTTTGATGAATCTTCTTCATCTTTAAGAGTTTCTTTTTTAGATTGGGATTGTTCTTTGGATTTAGAAGTAGCATCAGAAAGAGGTGCTTTTAATGAAGAATACATGATTTAAAAAAACTTTACGTTATCCTTCAAGTCAAATTGAGTGCCTCTATATATCTAGACTATTGCAGATTTGTGTAACATTTTGGTACAGTATTTACGGGCGCGCTAGCACTAGTTTATTTATTTATTTTATCATTTATCTACACCGATACAATTACAAATATGATACTAGTTTTATTTATTTTTTTTTTCGTAATCGTTGATAACGATAAACATGATTAACTAATTAATGCCTGACTTTAGAGACATAATTCACAAGTTACATGCATCCCAACTCCGAATAATCATATACTCAATCTAAATACAACAGTACCCCTTAAACTACTTTCATTAAGTTCTTTTGCTTTAGTAAATATATAGAGAATTTTTTTTTTTACTATGTTTCGGAATTCAACTATTACGAACTATTAACGTCCTTAATCTACAACCTTCTTAGCAAGACCAATCAAATTGCTTTTCGATATATTCCTTTTGTCTGTCGGGCATAACTCTTAACCAATATTCTTTTTCTGGAATTACATCCTTTTGGGCCTTTATCATACGGTAAACATTCCTTTTTGATGGAGACCAAATAACACTTTCATTAAATCTGGCAACATTTTCTAAAAAAAATAATTATAAAGATTTTTCTTAATTTCTATTAATGTTGAATAAAAATGAAATATTGTAACTTAGATTTAAAAAAAAAAATTTTTACCTGGATCATTAGGATTCTTAGGTACATCCTTAAATAATTTAATGCCTTTATGAGTTCCATAAACTATCATTTCAATTTTTTCTCGCGCTAAAAATAAATTCTTTTTTTGTAAAGATTTAATAATACTCGCATGTGTAAAATACCCTCTGAATCCAACATCCGACAATATTATTCTCGCTGCTTCTTCAACATCTCTACATTGCCAAAATGCCATTTCAATTTTATCACCGAATAAAGCCGCATATGATTTAATGATTTCTGCGGTTTTTTGATTTAATTTGTTGGTTACATATTCATTAAAGTTCTCTGATAGTATTATGTCTGTTGTTGATTCAGAAAATGGTTCATAATATTTTGTTGGTTCCGATTCAATGGCCTCACGACGTACTGAATTTTGACGATGTAAGAATGACTGTAAAAATGTTGCTAATTGGACTTTTGGTGTGTAACTATTAAAGAATGTATTTACAAGATCTGTTTGATCTTTAGTAAATTGAAATTCTGGTGTTTCCAAGATGGATTCGATAGTATTGGTGGAATCTGCAATAAAAGATTCAAAAATCTTGTTGAATCGTAGAATAGTTTCAATCGAACTATTTACTGCTTGTTTTATTGTTGTAAAAAAGCTTAAGTCGGGAATTTGATAAGTATTGCTATCATAATGTTGAATATTAACAGTAGGAGTTTCGAGTTTAGTTTCTGTTGTAGTTGGTTCATTTATCTTATTAAAGTATTCATCATAACTTTTTTCATACTCCTTAATCGGCTCATTAATATATTTCTCTTGATCAATGCCCAAAACTCTCCCAACATTTGACATTTCCTTTTCGACCGCTTCAAATTTGTTAAGCCTTCTTCGGATAAATTCTTCTATTAAATATATGATTAACTTTTCTTGTAACCACCTTTTAACGTCTTGGAAACTAATATCTCCACATCTTAAGGCGCATAGCATATGTCCAAGATAAACCAAGTTATTGGGGACAATGTCTATGGTGCGGTTCATGGGTGATTTCATGTAATTTTCAAATAAATTTATATTTTCCTTACGAAGATTATTTGATTGTTTGTATACTGCATCACAAGTTTCCAATATCAATTTAAATTGATTTCTTCGGAATTCTGTTGATGTATCATCAAGAGCTTTCGCCAATACTAAAAAGGGAATAGTAGTGATTTGCGAGTATGAATAACCAAATATATCGAGTGTAGTTAGGTACCCAAATATTGGCTTCATTCTCTCTTTGGCAATTGACCAATGTTTCTCATTGATATATAGAGGGAGAACTCCTGTAATATTTTCATTTGCTACTCCATGTACAATACTGGCTATAAAAGAAGCAGGTTGAAAGCCTCCATGAACTTCTTCAGCAGCGTAAGTATCATTCAAAGCAAATCGAATAGAGTCCAAAAACGCAACGGAACTTAAGAAAGTTTGATTAATCGCTTTAATATTAATTAATGAAGGGTCTGCTATGGCAGCTTGAGATCGTGCAACATCAAGTGTTAGACAAATACATTCTCCTCCTCTCATTGCTTCAATGTAATTATCAGTAGTAATTGTGCAAGTAAATTTTGCTTTAGTCTCCTCAGATTCTTGACTATCTAATTCGTCAAAGTCAATAGATTTTACAAGTTCTTCAATCTTTTTTTCCGACTCATTCATTAAATCAATGTTTTTAATTGCTCGATCTTCAAGTTTATTTCTTAATCTCCTTTTGGTTATATTCTTATATGCCAAATCATTGAAACTTGCGATTTTTTCATTTGTCAATGTTCCCTTCAATGCTCTAATATGTGGAAAGACACAAAACTATAGGTTAGAAATATGTAAAATATTAATCATTTATGAACATTATAAATGAAAGATGTATAACATACTCTGACAAAAGATTTTTAAAATTGTGCATAATAGATTTAACTTCCATAATTTGTTGTATAGTTGAACTACGCGTAAC